TATACTCAGTCTATTCGCTCAACAGTTCACACCCTTCCATTGTTAGTCATGAATCGTAATAACAAACTCTTACATTAGGTATAATTTTGAAGTAGCTCTCTTAAGCTTTTTTAGCTCCAGACTCATAAGATGAAGACATTTTGTTCGAAATTTATTAACTAATGTAAGACATTCTGTGACGATGAGAATTTACCAAAAAATTACGATACCGAATTCGAATCTATCTCGAGATTCCTTGTATCCATAAGCATATTTAAATGTCACCGTTTTTTTTCTCTCTTATAACTTTATACGTCTTCATTTTTCATGAGACTAGAAACATCTGTGCATGTGCCACACGTATCAACAGAGTAGATAATATTCATTGTGAATAGTTTGATTTTGCAGAAATACTCTTTCCTTTTGAATTGATTCAAAACTTGAGAAATATCTGACCGAACCATCAAACTAACTCCTATATATGCATATTCGAAAAGAAGTGTTAGCATAAATGTAATCTTTTGCAGAAAAGCAATATTCAGTGAGAAATATTAACCGATTTATTTTCAACAGACAACACGTATTGAAAGTTTCGATATGAGTGTAGGTATTTAAAGAAAAACAATGACACTTACAACTACATATCTCACGATCTAGTCAAAGGCTAGTTTTAGCTCATGAGTCTTGAAGGTCTCATTGGTTCTCAAATGATGCATGACTTTTAACCCTTTCCGGCCGGCTTCCAGAAAGAAACTGGCAAAAAATCTTTTTCTATGTACTTTTTATTACTGCACCGAAGGGATAACAAAAATTAATTTTTCGAAACAAAAAAATTATTCAATAACCCGTGGCACCATGTTGCCATTTGGCAACAACCGGCTGAAAAGGGTCAAAAACTTGAATTTTTTTTTTTCGTTTCCAGAAATCGTAGTACACTATGTAGTGCTTTTTCATTTATTGATAAAGTAATTACGACCGCAAAATAGTTCAATTATGCGCAAACCAGCGAGACAAACAAATAATAAAACAAAATAAAAGACGAGAAGTATCAATTTTCAAAGAAAAACGCCTTAATTATGATAATCTGTAAAACAGTTCTTTTTTTCATTCAAACATAAACGAATTCCACATTTAGAACATGATATTCTTGTATACCCATCACAGGTATTATTTCGACAACGACCTTTTGATGTTGTGATGGGCCAATGATCATATTTGTCGAATCGTGTACTCGAAGGTGGAGCCAAAGTTGGTGTAGTTCGTAAAGTTGCTGTTGAGTTGTTTTCGTTTGATTTTAATCTTGATTCTAATGATGGTCGACCACGTTTTATGATAGGTGGTGGTGGACTAGATTTAAGTAAAGCTGTAGCAATATTTATACGAAAAGTCAATAAAGACATTATGTCCTTTTTTGGAATATTTAGTTGCAAACAGTGGCGTCGGTACAACAACCGTGCATTGACAACTGACAAATCAATAAGATGAAAAACAATTTTTATGTAATATTTTTTTGAACCAACATTTATTCGATACAAAGAAATCAACATGTCGATTAAATCGACTCCTCCCATATGTTCATTATAAGCTTTTATGACCTGTGGTCGTCTTATTTGTATATGGTTTTTTTGTTTCGACGACCATCGTTGCACCGAGTCAATCGGTTCACAACCATACAATGTAGAAAGGCAATTCACAGCATTGTTATCATACCATCGTGTCACGCATAGTTCCACTCCTTCAACCTCTGTGACGCGATGATCCATCGCTCCCCTACCTTCTCTTGATAAATCTTTTGCATTTTTAATGTTTAAATCAATTAATCGATTTGGCCTTACCGTACCAACGGAAAAAATTCCCAACTTCTTCAACTCTACTTGTAGGCGAATTGTTGTGAAATAATTATCAAAATATACTTTATGATTAGCAAAACGTGGTACAGTTTCGCAAACATTCAGTACAATATCTGTGCAAAAACCATGCTGTTGTTGATTGCCTTTACCTGTATAAAAAATAAAATCGTAGCATATACCACTTTTGCCACCAGCTAAAAGAAACATCTTATACCCCCAACGATTGGGTTTCTTCAGCATATGCTGCTTCATTATACTTCTACCTTTAAATGGTATGATTTGTTCATCAACACTTAGTTTTTCTTCCTTTGGAATTGTCCTAAAGTTTTCTTTTATAATATTCAACAATGGACGAACTTTATGTGCTCTATCAAAATTTGCATCCGTTCGATTTTGTTGAATTGAATTATCAGTAACATGTAAATATTTCTTTAATTCAAGAAATCGATCTCGAGTCATGACTGAAGATATAGATTCAACACGTGTACTGTTCGACCAAAAATAACGTTGCTCTGGAAAAGAATAAATACCTGTCATTAACAAAATACCTATGAAATGTTCCATTTCTGTTTCCGAAATACGTGCTGCTTTGTTGGGATTTTTTTGAACAGAATATAGATTCAATTGATTTGTCAAGAGTGTTGTTGATTGCTTGCCGAACATATTATAAAAATAATCAATTGGTTGCAGTTCATCATGAATAGGTGGTGGTGGCATGCTGTCAGCAAAGTCAGCTGTCGGAGTTACAATATCTTTTTTGACCCAATGCATTCTTTTTTTCTTTTTCAAGTTTTGATTAGTTTCAACCTTTTCTTTACTTTCATCCTCTTCGCTTTCAACGCTTTCATCGTTATCACTTTCACTTGTTGAAGAATTTTCGCTCATATTCAATTCATTTCGTAAAGCATGTGTCACTTTACTCATTTCATCTTCAGACTCAGATGAGTTAATCTCATCTTCGCTCAAACCATTTGGAATAACAGCATTTCTTATATTTAACCTTTTAGCAGTCATTAATGAATACAATTTAAAATATTGAATCGACAATATTGTTCTTATAATTTACAATCACAAATAAAGACGAAAAATTATATGTGTATACACTTAGAATTTGAAAACCGAAATGTAAGCGATGTGTAGAATGTATCGTCCGTTTATACTAGCGTCCGAGAATAGAATACAGAACGAAAAAAAAAAGAATAGTTTTTACCAATACATATTATTTGTCATAGATGACGCAAGTATTCTGTAATGGAGACAGACTAAGAAATAGAAAAAGATGTTCTTTTTTCACAGAGTGGAGAAAAACTATATTATTTTGTTAAATTCGAGGTTTTCTCAAATAATACTAAGTGTTACGAAGTTTGTTATGAAAGAAACATTATTGTATGTCATTATCAGGTCATGAAAGGACTATTTCTTATCCAAACATAGCATATACTCACAGAACTGTAGTAAAACCTCTTAATTTAGATATTCATACAAAAAAAAAATTTTAGAAATTTTTGTCCCATTTCGGCCGGATGTTGCCAAATGGCAACATCGCTGGATTTTATTATCCCGACATAATGAATAACTGATATTAAGAGTGCTATATATAGCAACTGTACTAAGGAAAATTATCAACGAGTCATCTTTGGCATTATGCATTTGGGCTTACAAGAAAACTATTTTAAAGACTCAGATACATTTTCGGAGCCTTTCGGGAAAACTGAGCCCATATCTCGGAGAGAACTTTTTTTTAATCTTTAAGATACTCAACACACGTTGAAATCTATTGTAGTAATTATCAGATTGTCAAAACAACACATAGCATTACCTTAAGCGAACCTTCCGTCATATATTGATTGAATGTTGCCAAATGGCAACATCCGGCCGGAAAGGGTTAAGGCTGAATTGATTAAATCGAAAAATCGATGCGCTATAGTGATGCAGAGTTAATCATCTTGGCTCAAAAGCTTTGACGTTAAATTATGTCATACACCACAATCATTTTCTGATTCTTTTAATGCATTATATTCCTTTAACATTTTTTCATAAACTTCAAGTGTATCTCTGATAATTCTTTCAAGAGGAAAACCTGATTCAACATTTTTTGTATTTCTTTTCATTCTGTTGGTTTAGAATGACAGAAAAGACAAAGTCTCCGCAATAAATCGACTATCATTTCTCTTATCTTGAAATCCTTTATAATGCGATGATTTTCGATCTATAAGATTTACTTAGTACTATACTAATGAAATTCAACATCATCGCTTTACAGTTGTGCTCCAATCATTTCTAATATTTTATTTACATGTTCAACTAAATCATGTGAAACTCTTTCAGGAATAGCAGCTATTTGTTTGAGGATGGCCATGATTTGGTGATAGTAAGACTAATAATACTCTTACTACGAACATCCATCCTTACAACTTCTTGATACTGCTACTTCCCTTCTGTTAGTGATATAAATCTGAAAAATTTGAGACAATGGTGAGCATCTATGGAGTATTCTATTTTATAAGATCTATATTAAAATCCTAGACTATTTTCCGGTTAGTACATCTCATACTGACTGTTTTTTTTTTCGTCCTTCATGTCTTTAGTAGATTGAGGCTAGTTTCTCAAAAAATTGATAAAACTTGTCATATTTTTTATTCAAGACTGCAAGAATAGAGAATTTGAAAATGGCGACAGCTTGATTTCAAAAATGTTCTCTTATCGTTAAACTAAAGAATCTAGAATGATTATAGATTATTTAGATAATAAATCTCTTGCGACTCTTTCTTTCGCAGTACAAGTTTCGTCGTTGATTTGCATTCATCAAGAACCATGGAAATCGTAACTTTTAGTATTATAGTTCGTACGATTGCTGAGATTAAAGAGAGAGGTATACGTGTGGCT